TTTACAACGAAATACCGGACCGGCGAGATCGTTTCGTCTCGCTTCAGCGCGGGATACAATAACTCTTTTACTATAAAAAATAAATGTACAGTTTTAATAAACCATTCTCAAATTCTCGACACATTTTACAACAAAAGTATACCTGGCTGATCAAATTTTACTGCTAAGCTATGTTAACGACTTGGAAACTATTAGATTCTCGCCATTTTATCGCCTCACCGATATCTACTACCTGTCTTTTCTTAAACTAGGTAGCCTCGAGTCGACACCGGTAGACCCAGCTTCGTCCCCTTCGATGCATTGTATTAGTTCTATTGTACCTATATAGACCTACTCCCTTTTACGGCCCCTTTTTTCCTTTCGTTTTAACAGCTTCGACTTTTCCATTGTTTTTCTCTCTTCACTTGTTCCTCTTCCGCCCCTCGGAACTATTTACCTTATTTTTATTACCTCGTGTTATCCGCCTCTTAACATTCTCTTCTTAATCAAGCTATTTTATAGACCATCGTTAATCACGTTTCGCGACATAACCACGAGTGATAATAAATCATCGTTGCAATTGTTGAAACACATGTAAAATTGGTATTAGCAAAATAAATATAGGCCGTTCGACGTTTGCTTCTATAATTGCTCAGATTATTGGATAAGAACTATCGTTTCTTTTTATCGCTCACGTGGCCAGCGCTGCGAACTCAAACGTGAATCTTTATCTACCCCGAGTGGACACTTATGCATCATTTAAACGCGAATTTGCTGTAAACAAAAAATGTGCAGTTGAAATACATTTGAAGACCAAATATTCATCGCACGAATAAATTGACCGGTGCAAACATATTAGAAAAACAAATCAGTCTGTGTTGATGGGCATGTACAGAAGCCTGTTAACGAATATGTGTATCGGTTTTGTACAAATACGCGTGGCATTAAAAAGCGGCGAGTAACAAATCAAGATAAAAAAAAAAGGTACAGACACGCTTTCTATCGAGAGACTGCTGGCGTGTATGCGATCCATATATATGACGCGGAACAATGTAGCTTGGCTGGTTGCGCCGCACAATTAGTACGTATGCGGTCATCGTTGGAACGTTGCGAGAGCCGCAAGCGGCCGTGTATTGGAGCCGCTATAACGCACGTCTGTCTATACGAGCCTCGCTGGCATCGACGTCGAGCCGCGGTACGCGACGCAACCTCTGCTTTATGATACACGACCCATGCTCCGAACGCGCTGTACTGGATATGTAATACCTCGCCGAGCTCTCCTTTAACTCATTTTCATCTTAAACCCCGCCAGGTTCCGTGAACATACATAAAAACCTAAGTAAATGTTCCTCGTTAAGTTGATATTGCCTTAAAAAGATTAAAACGGTTTAGGGAATCCTTAATTGGTTGGCTTAGGGCAAAAGTAATGCCCGCGATAAAATACGAAGTTATTACGAGAATCGTATGTATCGTTCAGTCGTGGAATTCCTGTAATAAAACAGGAAGAACGGTGAAGGAATTGAAACGGAGAGAACACGTACCTGAGAACCTAACATTGCGAGACGATAGGAGTATGTAATGATCGTAACGGAAACGAACGTTATTAATAAAAACGGTTCTCTCGTCAATAAAAGCAATATCGCCGGCACGACTACGATGACGAACTCTTATCTCCTTGACATACGCGACAGATTAATGAAGCGGTAATTGATGTACACAAGAATCGAACGAGATGGACCCAGCGCGATACGTACTGCTGCCTCCACCGGTTTTCGACGGTTGAGCGGTGCAAACAAGAGGAACACGTCCCTCGTACAAGCGGCTATACCTGTGCCCGATCGTGTTTATTCGTATATAATGCACGCGAGAAAAGGACAGTTCGAGCCGAAGACGGCGAGATGCAGCGAGGAAGAAGTTAAAGAGAAAAGGTAAACTGGTAGCAGGCGGGGTGGGTACGATACTGCACCTCGTGAATGAAAAAAGATATTATATGGTTAAAGGGAAAAGGAAAGGGATAGAGCTCGTACTACAAGGAA